TTGCCTATTTGCCACTTCGCCTACGTGCCATTTCCTCCATGATTTCCACTGCTTGAAATCATCAAAATCAAGAAGAGATGAGCCACAGACAAGCGCTCAACTAACCTCTCCACAATCCACCCTGAATGCTATGAAAATTGAAATATCAAACAGGAATACCAGAATATTGTGGATTTTCAGACGGTGAAGGGTTTTTTATGTAAAGCCACACAGATAGGTATTGCGTGCAACTCTGTGGAAAGAAGATCAAGCACACGCGCAAGTAGTTCGAACAGCATGGAATAGCTGTGAGCCTTAGCGACTCCCGCAGTGACAACATGAAATATATTCAGAATTTTTGCATCGTGAAACGGACATGAATATGATCAAAACCGTCAGAGAGATTTTAGTGAAGTTCGCAGAATTAGAGGCATCTTCATGCATTTCCTTTCTATGAGTTCATAAAAAGCACGCATAATTACTGACATCACGCGTGTAAAATTTATTGTCATATTTCTAAAAAAGCAGGGATATTATGCATCGCCACACCTCAACCTCAAAAACTGGAGAAATTCCTCTATCGTGTCTATGGTAATTTGGCATAATAAAAATTAAAGGAAAGAAAATAACACCAGCAACAGTAGGCCTAAACTCTGAAATTTTTTAATTCATCCCTTTTTTGTGAAAATAAATGAAGACCAGTCCAGAGAATTTAATTTACACGACATTCGCTCATGCCATATCCCGGGCCTATTGACACATTGTTATGTAAATCGTACAGTGTAGGTGCGCCTTTTTGCTTTTGTGTGCATGTGCGTAGGATCCGACGTCGTGCATTCAGTGTGCACCAAAGATCGTATATATAGTTTTACGTGTATTCACTAGCACTGTGAAGTTCGCCATCTTGAAGCGGCGCTATACGATCTTTGGTGTGCACTACCCTGACCCGCACATGCACACACGCTGTACACGCACGTTCTAGTGATGCGAACGGGCCAGTTATTCTAGTCCACAAAAACCACAAGGTTGTCTCTTCGCTTGCTGAGCTTTGAAGCCGTACGGAGGTGCTTTTACTGCCCTCTTCAGGACGTCAGAGCTATAGCCACGTGTGGTGAGAATTACTCCGTATCCAACTTCTTCTGTCTGCGCCCCCTTTTCTTTCTTGCTTAGCTGCTTAACTTGCTTTGCAATTAACTTCGGTTTTTGTACCTGAGTTCCCTCGACGTCGTGCCAACATGGCCGACAATGGCCGACGGTTCTGAGGATCTGGGCGAGCATGCATGGGACCAGCTTTCTCAACAACAACAACAACTGCCAGAATATGGAGACAATAAACTTATTGACCAACAACGATCATCCTTAGACATGCTAATGAGCCAAGCACGGGAAGTAGAGAATGATGATAGTGAAGAAGATATTGCCGATGTTAATGAAGCCAAATCTAGCCCATGTAGACCTAATTCTAGAAAAAGAACGAAACCACAAAGCCAAAGCGATAACTCCACTGACTATGATGATAGCACTTATTTTAGACAACAGAAAATAAGAAATATCAACACATATATATTCCACACAGGCTAATTCTACCATTGTTATCATTAATTCACCTGGTGTAAAACTCGCCCAAGTAAATCCCATAAAAATAGCAAAGCCTTAAATGCTGTATGTTCAGATTAGAAAAAATGTGAATAAAACAAACCAGGGCGGCATTTGTGTGAAGTGTCTCTCCCCAGGCCAGGCGTCCAAACTGAAAAGAATCACCAAACTAGGCCAGTGGGCAGTCGATCACCACCAAATTTTGCCAAATCCAAGATACAAAGCAAGTGCGTTATTTCTTGCATTCCCCTTGAAATCACAGATCGAGAAATCCTTAAATCATGTAAAAAAGAAGGGGTTATTGAGGTTCTCAGACTAACATCCCAAAGAAATGGGCAAAGCAGAAACAATCTATCAATCTGTCTCACATTCATTTCTCCAAACTTGCATTCGAAAATTCCCCTTGGCTATCAGTACTTCAATGTAAAGCCATTTATATCTCCAGACATACGATGCTTCAACTGCCAACGTCTAGGTCACACTGCAAATGCTTGTCGTAGCAAAACTAGATGTGTCAGATGTAGTGGGGCACACTCTTATGACCAATGTGATAAAAAAGAATAAGTTAAATGTAGCAGGTGTGGTGAGCAACACTCATCGGCTTATGCTGGCTGTAATACCTTCAAGTAAGTAGGAAAAATCCAAGAAGTGAGAGACACCTATAATATATCATATGCAGAGACGGTAAAAGATACATACGGATATCACACTGCATACAGTCAAAGCTAATGAGTTATCATACCCTACTCCTACA